TATATATATAATATTCTATATTCTCATGTTAACTAAATCCAAATATGGCTTACAACAAATAAGCGGCTTTTCGCCCATAAAAAATGTATTTTATGGGAATAGTGTTTCGCTTCTATCGAAGCTTTTCCATTTAAGCCGCTTTTCATGGAAAGTCCTCAACAACCGAACATGCAAAAAAAAAAGGTAAAAATAAGGTGGAAAACCAATTCAATTGAAATAGAGAGAGGGAGAGAGAGACACAGATACACAGGGACACAGAGAGTGAGTAAGATATTTCAAAGAGCGCCTAAAAGCATGCTACAATAAATTGATACAGCCAGCGAAGCAAAAAAGGAAAAAGTCGCAACAAAGTTCGTTCGTACAAGGGGAAATGCAAAAAAGTAAAAAAAAAATGAACACGTCGCATTAAACGCAAACGAATCTGGCCAAGCAGAAAGCTTGACAACAAACCCAACATCCAGGTGGACGCTGTGGGTGGAGGGTGGAGGGCGTGGCCGGCAGCGAGACGAATGTCCAAAGTAAAAGTTGAAATTAAACCAATTAGTTTGCCTGCGTCAACCCGGTCTGGCCTCGCACTCCTTGCCAAGACGAAGGGACAACGGCCGGTGGGCGTGGCAAGGCTAAGGTAGCGGCAGCATTGCTCAGCCAGGCATTTAGGCAGGCAGCCCGCCCGGCCCGCACACCTGGCGCTGCCAGCCCGAACTCCAAACTTCCGACACGCGACACCCGACGTGTCCCGGCGTGTCCCGGAGTTCCGAGTCCTAGCTGACGGCGTCATAAATTAATTATGATTTAACAACTTCAGCATGCACGACACGGCAAAAACTTTGCGCTTTTCAAGCGTCTCCTGTTTTTTTTGTAATAAAAAAAAGGGTACGATTTTTTGTTTTTATTTTTTTTTCAAGTTTTAATGAGCGCAAAAAGTTAAGAAAAGTTTCTCAAAAAGCTGAATTAATAGGAGCGAAGCAAGGATGAAATTTGATAAATATATTCAAATCCTTTCCTAAATTAAACACAACACAAAGTATCATAAGCTGCGGTGCGTTCGTTTCAGTGGTTATTTACTTCAGTGGCTGCCTGCCCGCACCGCTCTTGATCTCCTCGAAGGCCTTGAGCCAGAGCTTGTCGAACTGCTTGGGCAGCTTGGCGCGCACCATCTCAGCCATTCGGCGGGCGCCCCGCTGATTCGCCTCCTCGTAGTACGGTAAGTGGGAGATTCGTGTCAGCCAGTCGCTCAATTTGGGATACTTGGCAGCATCCACGGGCGCATAGCTCAGGTGCAGGGTGCTGAGCGTTGCGACGATGCTGAAGTCCGCTATGGTCAGCAGTTGTCCGGCCAAATAGTTGCGTCCGTCCAGAAACTGTTCGAGCAGATCGTAGGCCTTGTGCAGCTGCTCGATTAGGACGTTTGGCAGCTCCGTCACCTCCTCCTGGAAGATCAGATGCTGCAGCTGCTTGAAGAGCACAAACAAAATGCCCGAATCGAAGTGCAATCGCTGATCCACCAAGGCACGCTTCAGCGGATCGCGTGGATACAGGGCATCGGTGAAGGCATATTTGCCAACCAGATAGCCCATGATGGCATGCGAGTCCCAGATGCAGGCGTCGTTATCCTGCAGCACCGGCACCGTACGCTGTGGATTCTTGCGCACAAAATGCGGCTCCAAGTGCTCCCCGGCAAGCAGGTCCACGTGCCGGAACTCGTGCTCCAGCTCTAGGGCGCGCAACGTAAGCAGCACAGCGCGCACGCCCGGACTCAATTCAGTGCCAAACAGGACGAGCACCATGATGCGGATTGTAAATAGACGTATATATGGATAGATAGCTAGTATATCGACTAGACTATATCTAGTCTAACTGCTTAGCAGCTACTGCGCCGGCTGAGTTTCTGCTGCCACACAGACAGCTGCCATCAGGCAGTGCATGATTTAAGTCAGTAGATAAGATTAGATAATACCAACAACTAATTACTCGAAAGACGAACAAAAATAATCTAAAGACGTCATAATGCTGCAAGTTTAAGTCGTTTTATTTTCGTTACACATTTCTTATTTAGTGTTTTTTGTTAATTCTTAGTACTTAGACCTTATCTCTTACCTCAATGTTTACCCATGTGTCAGTGGGCTAAAACTAAATTCATCTGATGTACATAAGTATATACACACATATATATTTACATATACATATATGCCATTTATTCTATATCAATTGTATATATAATATAAACCCGTGAGCAAATCACATGAATGATTCAAATTGTGGGGAACAGTTTGCGTGTGGCTGAAATGCATAAATTATTTAAATTAATCGAAATGAAATAGCTGTAAAATCAATTTTAATAGCCATAGATACCCTGTAATTTAGCAACAGCAGCTGCAGGTGCGTTTGGCTTTACATTTCCTTATTAGAGATTAGTTCATAAAATATTTACAAATTTTTAACATATTACAAATATTCAAGAATAAATTAAGCCATAAATAATATTTAAAAAATAATTTTTAATAGGAATTTAATAATAATNNNNAATAGATATTACAATTAGAAAAAAAAAGGAAGAATAACATATAAAAATAAAATAAAATAAAAAATATACAAAATAATTTGTAAGGAGAAACGAGGCATAATATATAAATTTATTGAAATAAAAATACAACAATTTTCCATAAGTTTTGGTTAATAAATGAAAACAATTTTCAAATTAATTTTTGTTAGATTTCTTTATTTTTTTTTTTAATGTTGTACCTATTTATCGAATTTTGTTGTTGTTTATAAAAATATTTATTTTTTGTTTATATTTTATTAAACAGTATTTTAATCAGCTTAATTGTTAAAACTTAGCCTAATTAGTATCGAAACAATAAAAGCACTTTTACTTAATTTGATATACTATCTCAAAAAGAGTCGCCCCCTAATATGAGGTATATGGGACTGGGTGCATATTTAACTATCGTTTGTATTTCATCGTGCTGAGTTTGTTGAACTAATGGCACAGCCCTTCCTCTTACAGCTGGTTAAATACACCGACCACCTACGTGGCCCTCGACGCAGACCACATTTCCCAAGCTCCCCACCACTATATAAGGTCCTGTCGATTAGGACCTGGCAGTTAGTCACCTTCTATCAATCAACGCGGAAGTATGGTTAAACTTTTAATCTATGGCTTGGAGGCAAGTCCGCCCACGCGCTCCTGCTTGCTGACACTTAAGGCGCTGGAGTTGCCCTTCGAACTGGTCCACGTTAATTTGCTAAATGGAGAGCATTTGACACCCGAGTTTCTGGAAAAGAACCCACAGCACACGGTGCCGATGCTAGAGGACGACGAAGGCTGCATTTGGGACTCGCATGCTATAATGACATATCTTGTGGGTAAATATGGAAAGAACGATGCTCTGTATCCACTGGATCACCATCAGCGCGCCATTGTGGATCAGCGGCTGCATTTCGATTCGGGTCTCATGTTCACCGGCGCCTTGCGCCCGATAACAAGAGGTATTCTAATGCTGGGAGAAACTGTCATCGAACAGTCTAGAATCGAAGCCGTTTCTGAAATCTATGATCTGGTAGAGCTATTTTTGAGTGATAACGATTTTGTGGCTGGCAACGAGCTGACCTTAGCTGACTTTAGCTTTGTGTCGTCAATCAGCTGTCTGTGGATCTATCTGCCAATAGATGCGGCTAAATATCCCAGAATCTCGGCCTGGGTGCAACGTATGAAGGAGCTGCCCTACTACGAGGAGGCCAATGGCATAGGCGCGGCTCAACTGGAAACAATACTTAAATCGAAAAACTTCACAATTGCAGCTTAGAATGCATTTTATTTGAATATATTACGAAATTAATACACATACTATGTTAATTAGCTAGCACAATGCATTTGAAGAGCACCTTATAATTGCATTCTCCTTATTGTGAAATATTTTTTTACCGAAATGCCATGGAAAGTGCACAGTCATGACAAGTCAGCTTATTGAAGAGAGCGCGATCACAGTTAGAATACCAATATCTAAACACAAAAACGAAAACCAACAACTATCCGGCATAGGCGTATATATGTATATGAGAGAATAAGTGAGAGCGCTAGAACAGCTGATGAGCTTTTAGAAAACTGTGATTTCTAAAAAAACCGGAGAGCATAGGCTACACAAAGTTAAATTAGCAAACATCTAAGCACGACACATACATACATTCAAATAAAATAAACAGTAATTAACTTTACGCCTCCTTATTTTCCCCCTCTTCCCTCTTCATATATGTAATTAATAAAAATTGCATTAGCATTTATTTTTAACGGCGTTAGAAATCAATGCAAACATACTCAATTTCCTTGTGTATGTATGTATGTGTATATGCATGCATGTATGCGTGAGGGCTTGCGTGCAGTAGCAGCAGCGATTAGGAGAGTTAAAAAGTTAAAGAGCGTGGGAAGTTAACAGCAGTTACGTTCACTCTGAACACGTATGGGAATTTGACGAACATGTTCGACTCTCTTTAGGGTCGGGTGCATATAAAAGCCACGATACTCACCCATTGGCCGGTCAGTTATCGTTCAGACGCCAAACGCAATACACAAGTAAATTATAAATATGGTGAAGCCTATTCTCTATGGTATCGATGCCAGTCCGCCAGTGCGTGCCGTCAAATTGACGCTGGCTGCGCTGCAGCTGCCCTACGACTACAAAATTGTCAATTTGATGAATAAGGAGCAGCATTCGGAGGAATATCTGAAGAAGAATCCACAGCATACGGTGCCACTATTGGAGGATGGCGATGCAAACATAGCCGACTCGCATGCCATAATGGCGTATCTGGTGAGCAAATACGGCAAGGATGACTCACTATATCCCAAGGATCTGGTGAAACGCGCTCTCGTCGATAATCGCATGTACTTCGAGTCGGGCGTCGTATTCGCCAATGCCTTGCGCAGCCTAACCAAAATGGTTCTCTTCCTCGGCAAGACGGAGGTGCCGCAGGAGCGCATTGATGCGATTACCGAGGCATACGATTTCGTCGAAGCTTTCCTTAAAGATCAGACCTATGTAGCCGGCAATCAGCTGACCATTGCCGATTTCAGTCTCATCTCATCTATCAGCTCTCTGGTTGCCTACGTGCCAATCGACGCCGCCAAATATCCCAAGCTGAGCGCTTGGATCAAGCGATTGGAACAGTTGCCCTATTATGCAGAAAATAGCACAGGTGTACAGCAATTTGTAGCGGCTGTCAAAAGTAAGCCATTCACAGTAGTTGGCTAAGTGTTATCAGTTCTCTCATTAGCTCTTTTATAATAAATGTTTTGTTTTATCTAATCATCGATAATCTTTGCTGTTTATGCTTTTATCAACAAAAGCCCACTGCTCAGGGAACTTATAAAGAAAGTAAAAACAACGGGGAGGGTCATATGAAAGAGAGAGAGAGAAAAATGCCAATAGTCGCATTTCAAGCGGCAAATTGACAAGTTACTTAGTCTATTTTTCGCTCACTTCTTTTATTTTGCTATTGGAATTTGGTATATTTTTTGGAAGGCAATTCCTCTCTTTGTTTGAATATCAAATCATAACAAAATACCTTAAAAAATTTTGCTTGATCTTTGGGCTCTTTATGGAAATTTGTGAAAAGAGACAGCTGACTCTCTAATGATATTAAAATAGTATGTATTTAGTTGTTGCGTGCTTTGCTTTGTCACATGATTCGTTTCTCTTATAATTATGATTTTTGACAAGATTGAGCAAAATTTCCTCTTAGGCTGCTAGTAATAGTTCAGCTTGCAAACCGGCAACATGGTTAATCTGACGCTCTACGGATTGGATCCCAGTCCGCCAACGCGCGCCGTCAAAATGACGCTGGCTGCCCTACAATTAGCATATAAATATGTTAATGTTAATGTGCTCAAGGCAGAACAGCATTCACCAGCTTATCTACAAAAGAACCCACAGCACACGGTACCCATGCTGGAGGATGGGCCAGTTCGTTTCTGGGACTCGCACGCCATAATGGCTTACCTGGTGCGTAAATATGCCAAGGATGATTCACTGTATCCCAAGGATTTCTACAAGCGTGCATTGGTGGATCAACGACTGCACTTTGAGTCGGGCGTGGTGTTTGCTCATGCTCTGATAAGCATAACGCGCATGGTTCTCTTCCTAGGCCAGACAAAGGTGCCCAAAGAGCGCATTCAGGCAATCGTCGAAGCTTACGATTTTGTAGAAGCCTTTCTCAAGGATCAGGAATATATTGCCGGCGATCAGCTGACCATTGCAGACTTTAGTCTCATTTCCTCCATAAGCTCAATGGTTGCATACGTCGAAATCGATCCCGTTGTATATCCCAAACTGAGAGCTTGGATGCGTCGCATGGAACAGCTGCCAGTTTATGCAGAGAATTCGTTAGGAGCGCGTCTCTTTATAGCTTCAGTGAAGAAGGCAAAGTTCACAGTGGCCGAATGAGAGAAGAGCAGAGAGCAGAGAGATAACTGTAAGTGGCAATTCTATTTTCAATGTGAAATAAACAGAACGCACGTCCACTCAACATGGCTCTCTTTATTGAACAGAAAGCTGTGGTAAGCATGATTAGCAATATTCTCTTATGATGTTAGTTTTGGTCATTAATTAGGTTTAATGAATTTTTTACTGAGCTTAAATACTTTGTTTACGTGCACAAATGATTAGGGGAGCTTATGGCAAATTTTAAACATTTGGGATACGTTTTAAGCCCTCAAAGTCTTATACACAGTTTCATACATAGTTTTTCTTTAACTTTCTAGCCTATACTCTTATACGTATCTGTATATAAATTATTCGCATAAATATATGTAAGTGTTATACGAACCATGACCATTTCAGCTCGAATGCCCCAAGCACGTGTCTCACTTACCTAGCACACGTAATGTTATCAGTTTATCGCACCTGCATATCTATTGTTTGATAAGATTTCCAGCTTTGAGTGCCATAAAAAGGTCTTCCAAGAATCGTAAAGAAATGCTGAATATTATAAATTTTTATTGTTTCTATTATACATATAAGTGACGATAATGCCAAATAGTTTATAATATTTATGAAATTTGAAACCTAAAGTCTAATAGAAAAAATTTTATACTGAAAGATTTTTATTTTTCCAGTGAAAATTGGATATTTATGGGCTATATTTAGCTATATTCAGCTAGTAGTTAGTTATAGCCATTTCTAGATAGATTGACGTATCACTTTAATATATTGAAATCTATGTATGCTTATTGGTCAAGCCCCTTTGATTAATGTATTGACAGTTGCTACAGCTGCTAAGCTCTGTTTGAATGTATAACACATAGTATCGCTACATAATCAGTACAAGCAAGTGGAATACATTTAGATAGTAATTAAAACGACAAGCGATTACAGCTCAAAGCGACAGACAGGGAGAAAGAGATAGATAGAGAGAGAGAGAGAGAGAGAGGTGGTGAGCTTCTATTGAACTATAGCAAAAGAATCGAGGAAGATTTAATTAGTTGAACTATAGCATTGCAGGCTTTCAGACGTCTCCAGCTTAAGTATAGAAATGGGCAAATTGGTATTGTACGGTGTGGAAGCAAGTCCTCCGGTGCGCGCTTGCAAGATGACCCTGCACGCTCTTGGTCTGCAATACGAGTACAAGCTGGTCAATATCCTGGCTGGCGATCAGCGCAGCAAGGAGTACACTCTGAAGAATCCACAGCATACGGTGCCCATGCTGGAGGACGATGGTAAATGCATCTGGGACTCGCATGCTATAATGGCTTATCTGGTACGCAAATACGGCAAGGAAGATTCGTTGTATCCCAAGGATTACTATAAGCGAGCTGTAGTGGATCAACGGCTACATTTCGAGTCGGGCGTTGTCTTCCAAGGTTGCATAAGAAATATTGCTGCGCCGATCTTCTATCGCAACGAGACTGAAGTGCCGCGCTATATGATCGATGGCATCTTTGATATGTACGATTTCCTCGAGGCTTTTCTGGGCAATCAGGACTATTTGTGCGGCTCGACCTTGACCTTGGCTGACTTCAGTTGCATCTCATCGGTGGCCAGCCTGTTAGGCCTCGCACCCATCGAATCGAAACGTTATCCGAAACTTAGCGCATGGATAGCGCGCATGGAACAGCTGCCCGATTATCAGTCGAACAATGGCAATGGCGCACAAATGTTAATAGATCTGTTTACCGCTAAGATCAAAAAGATCGTTTAGAGAGAGATTTTAAATGACATAAACACCAATGACATAATTCAATCATCTGATAGAGAATCTACGTATGTGCCAATGTATATAATAAAGTAAATATATTTGTGTTAAAGGTTTTGCATATATACAAATATATATTAACGATTTATAATTATTAAGTTTTCACATTTCTTTCCAATACATATGAAAACAATTACATAACCGTACATCTTGTTTATTGTCATAATTTTTAATAATTGGAAACAAATTCATTATCACATTTAACAAATCAAAGAGTTTGGAACAAAGTTATTTTCTAAGGCACCTATTCGAAGTATAAGTATATAAAAATATTTGACAATGCCCTTTTTTATGCAAACAAAAATAGTTTAACAAATATTATTGCACAAAAGTTAGAATGCTCTACGCTAATTGCTGAGTTGTTTCTGGTTTTTTGTTTTGTTTGGAAAACAGCTTAATTAGTGACTTATACTAATTGGATATGTTGTAGCCCTGGTTTTTTAACTGCCTAACTGGATGTCTTGCGCTTCTCGAGTGCCTTCCAAACGAGTTTCATGCGCTGCACACACTCCCGATGCTGGGATTCCCACAGCAAGGTGGTGAGTCGTCCCACGGTGGCAACGCCATCATCAGAACTGCGCAGCCACTGTAGCAACAGTTGATAAATCACCTGCAAGATATAGATAAATATAAAGATAATAACTTATATCGTATATGTACAGCATATGACTAACCTCCTTGATGTTGCCATGCATTTGATGATCAATTATTGCTTGCTCGATCTGACCCTCTGAGTGGCCCAGATCGCGCATCACCTGTTTCCAGCCTTCGCCCAGGTGAGTGGCGACCGCGTCCAGCAATCGTTCGTCTGGCTCCTGCTGTGACTGCATCATTGCCACAATGCTAACGGTTTTCCTTGGCACACCATGTCGGACTTTGGCATCGGATGGCAGCGCTCCGGCCACATCCTCCGTTGTGCTAGTGCTGCCTTTGCGTGAACTGCAGCCAGTTAAATTTTGATTGAAATTGTATACGGAGCCAAAATGCAAATTGCTGGCATTCGAGAAGTTCATCACCACCTGTTGCTGTGCACTGTGCACGTTCATTGTGTTCATGGTATTGGTGTTACCATTCACTAGAGCACTTCCTGGTATTTGCGCCGATTGCACCACATCCATGGAATTGTAATTGGGATCGGAGAGCTCGCGCAGCACCGATTCGGTTAGATCAGCGGATGGTGTTGGCGTATTGGAGGACAGCGATAATGCGCCGCTATTGTCGTTATCTGCCTCGCTAACTGGCAGTGCATCTGTTTCCAAACGTCCCTCCGCACTCATGTTTGTGTTGCTACTGTTACCGTTGTTTGTGTCTCTGTTGCCGCCAAAGATATTGGGCAGTAAACTCTTTAGTTTTGGCATATTTTGTGTCTGTATGCGTGTGTGTCTGTGCGTGTTTGATTGGGCTATAAATAAATTGTATTTCGGAAATGCCAAGAGAACGGGTATTTTCCAAGACACAAAAAAAATATATATAACTCGCTCTCCTCTTTTCTTTTTTGTCTTTGTTGTGTGAATGGCAACAAGTTGAACGGGCGTTGCTACATTTGTTATCGATAGTTGTGTATGGTAAATCACCCACATAGCGCTCGACTGGCAGCACAAATTTCTTTTACCCACAGCGTTGCCACTACGGAAAACGCCATGTGGCAACACGCCTGCATTTTGCCACGTTCGCTCAGTTGCTCATTCATTCACTTTACTTGGAGTTGATATCCGCTTCGTGTGCGTATTGCAGTTCTAAGTAGAAAGTTTTTAACTAAAATTAGTTTAACTGTTTTAAAAAAATGCACTTAAGTGCCAACAAGAAACTGTGCGCGCCTTATTGAGCAATTGCAATGCTACAAGTTAAAAAAAATGTGCTTAAATTTACGTTTTGTGTGGGTCGAAGGAAGGCGGCGGCGGCGGCGACGACTAGAGAGAAAATTTAGGCCGCGGCTGCCGCAACGTGGAAACTTCTTGCTTGCATTTTACAAAAATGAATTGAAGTCAAATGCCCACGATCGAGTGCACATGCGGCAATAGTTAAATATACGAACGTTTCAAATCATGCATATTCAAATAAAAAACAACGTGTTTTTTAATAGTATTATCACAACCGTACGGGCTTGTCTGTCGCTGCCAGTGTCGCCGCTGCTGCTGCCGTCGTTGTCGTCGTCGTCGTACATCGTGCATGCACACAGTTGAAGACACAAAAGTCAGAGCCATATTTCGTTGTCCGCTGCGGCGGTAGCGGTGGAGGCGGAGACTTCACGCATACACCAATAAAACTAAGCACACACACATACAGTGTTATGTATATGTGTATGTAAGTGTGCCTATGTCCGATTGATGGCAGCGGGAGCAGCAGCAGCAACAGCAGACATAGTCGGCGGTATTTATGCTTGTGGTAGTGCGCGCGTGCCTCTGTATTGTGTGTGTGTGCGAGTGTGTGTCGGTGTGTGAGAGCACAAGCCATACGATTTTTGAACTTTTAGTATTCCGTCTTTCACATACATATATTACATTCAAATAAAATGACCAAACTTTGCGGTCGCTCTGCCACACGCTCAAACAAGTTGAAACCTTAACAGATGAAGACACCTTTCACCCACTTCAAGTGGCAGCAGTCGCTCTCACAGCAGAATATTTACTACTACTACGCACTAAGYGTGCTCCCTTACTCTTTAGCTTCCGCCTACACACACACAGAGCCTAATAAGCATACGCACACATATTTTATGCTCCACTTTTTATGCACTCAACTGCAGTAAGAATAACAAAAACAACAACAATAATAATTGTCCAATAAGTGGCCCGCATGTTTATGCATAAAGGTCGCCGTCAGCTTTTGCCATAGGGCAGCGTTCACTCACTCTCTCTCTCCTCCTACCTCCCGCTTTTCCTGTACACTCTCTCGCCCGCTCTCTTGAATTTATGCACATTTGTGTTAATAAACACGGGGCAGAGGCTTGCCAACGCTGCCATATGCTCCACCAATTGCAATTGCATTGCAGAGCAGCGCATTTGGGGCGGCAGCACGAAAACATGTTTTTCCTTTTGTTTTGTGTGTGGTTATTTTTTTTTTTTTTTTTTCTAATTTGAAATTGATGCAACGTGCCATCTTTATTGCCTTCTGCTGTTTAACATGTTCTGATTCACATTAGATTAAATAATTAAAATTCTTGTACATGTTCATTGTGTATTTTGCAGCTGGAGACACGCCAAGTTGATCAAACTGGATTTTGTTAAAGGACAAATATAGGCCGGATTTTTTGGATTTTACAGTACAGTAAGTTGAACAACCTGCATACAAATATTTTTACGATCATGAAATCCACTGTATATTTTTGTATACATTTGCATAATTAAGCATTTTACACAGAGCCCAGTGCTGGCAACTTTCGAGCTAGTCTTAGAGGCAAGGGCAACATAAAAAAAATCAGCTAAATTTTATTCAAAAATGCAGCCAAGTCTCAATCTGTCGGGAAAAAGGCGAGTTTGACAACACTGCTTTGCCAGCTCCAAGAAGTAAATGTCTTCTTTTGAATACCTGCAGTCGACTTTCATGCAAAACTGGCTACGTCAAGGTTTTTTTTGTTTGTACAGCTACTCTCTTACACATACACACATACGTGCCTATGTATACCTGCTTCAGTTCATCTGACAAGAGGAGTACCGTTAAGCCAGACAACAGGCACAATTTGCTTAAGTAACAGCATTTAAATTAATATTGGTCTAAGCACCTTACCAAAAAAAAAAGCTGAAGGGAAAAAAAAAAACAATTTCTATATGTAAATGTGCATAGAAAATGCTCAAGCTGAACTTTGGTTGTCTTGTCGACGTCAACGGCGCTGCAGCGCATGCATATGCATAGTAGTATTTACATATGTATGTGTGTTTCACTTTGTATGTGTATGCGTGTGCCTTTAATTTTCTGTTACCTGTGTGTCTTTTCGAGCTTGCCTCGAAAGGTGCCAAGCCACCAATACAAACGCAGCGACAAAATCAAGAAGTGCGCATGCAGCGCAGAGCCACAACACACATACAACTACAATTTCATTTACGTTCACATAAGTACACATACAGATACACACACACACACACTTGCCGATCATTTCATGTAGTTGCCGGCTATCATCCGGTTTTATGGCTCCCTCTCGCACAACTCCCCGCCACACCGAGCACTTCGTCAAGCTTGACTCTCTCGCTCGCTCGTTCGCATTTAGCGTGTCTCTTCTTTTGACACATTTTTATGCGCTCATGCGTGTGGAGCATCAATGACATTTACGTGCAGTTTGTAACGCTTGCGCACGTAACATGTAGATTATCTTGAAAATGTTTAGGAACAAAAGTGAAACTAATTTAAAAATATAATAAATAATAATTTAGAGATGCACCGATAATTTCAAAATTCATTCTGTCATATTAACTCTAGCGTTGGCTGTGTATGTGTGGTGTAATTTGTTGCAGAGTATTTTCTTATCGGCTTGGCACAGTTCGCTTTCCTTTTTTCGTTCATTTTGTGTATGCGCGTGTGTGTGTGTGTAAGCTGTGTGTATGTGAAATCAATGGCGGTGATAGTGGCAACGTCTTGTGTTGTTCTTCTGGCTGCTGCTAAAGCAGAAGAAAAATGTAGGCTAAAAAACTTGTTGGGCGCTGATTTAGAAAACCACACACACACACAATCAGCCAACCAGGTTTGAACAAGTGCATGTCTAACGGTATTCGGTTGAAATACTTTTGTACGAAAGAATGTTGCTACTCTCGATCTCTCTCTTAGCCGTTTCTTAACCTTTCACTGGTATAAACCGGAGTTTTTTTTTTCGTACGTACATACTAATAACAGTATTTATTGAAGTATTTGTGTACTTGCAGTGCACTTGTAAGTATGTTTGTGTGTGCGTATGTGTAGTTATATCTCGCCTCTTATCAGCTTGATCGATAAGTATCAACTATTTGCTTTGAAAATTTTTGCCAGCGTGGCCGCTGATAGAGCAACAAAACTGTCCACTTATCACCCGATGCTCAAAGCGGACCCTCATATAAAGTCAACGTATGTCTATACAATGTATGTATGTGCTTATTTGCCCAATATTTTCGCATAGCTATTACGTGGCCATTTCTCGTTCTGTATAGTTAAAAAAAAAAAAAAAAACCTAATGTCTAATGTCTAACGCTTAAATAGAATTGGTTTATCAGCTGAGCGAGACCCCAGTCCTATGCCCGACTCTACTACCTATAGAAGCAGCAAGCGTGTTATCATCGGAGCGTCAACGACATACGGGTCGCGCTGCCTTATCAAGACCCAAAGTTGATTTTTATGTGCCTAATGCCTGTGTTTCTGGTTTATCTAGGATTTATTTTCGTTCGCTGCCAAGCAAGCAAGTGAGCGAGCGAGCAGCAAAAGAAAAATAAGAGAATGTTGAATATATGTACATATATGCATACACATACATATATATATATATATATGGATATATGTATATACAAATAGATGTATAATAGCTCGGCTTTCGGAAAGTTCAGTTAATGCTAATCGACAGCTGTTCTAACAATAATTGTTTGTCATTGGAAACTTCAGATATTTCAACTAAAAATAATGCCTCGTAAACAAATATTTTTAAATTTATTGGGCCAGTAGTATGATCGGAGTTCAATGATACAACTGTCTATGCAGGTGATCATAATAAAAGAACTTTGATTTTTATAAAGCTTTAACACCAAATGTATAGGCAACATTAATAGAAAAGTAAAGATTTGTTATTATAATCCATACGTCTATGAGAAAAGTCCCATTGATTATTTGAATCTGGACTTTGAGCTATACCTATGCATTGATTATGTACAAAATCTTTTTGAAATAGGCATTCTAGATAAGAGATGCTAATGAAGAGAGGCATGGAAAGGCATACATGAAAAAGTTAGAGATAACGAAATATGATGGAAAATGGGTACTGCATTAGATAACGAAATACACAATAGTTATGAATGCGAACGGATATAAGAAATAGATCAATAAATACTTCTCAATATGACCATCAAAATGTTTATCTATCTAGATATTTAATAGTAATATTCCGTAAAATGAAATAATATATAATTTGAACGCATTCTAAAATAAACGCAGTATTTCATAAAAATTTCCCGCTAATAACTAAATGATTCCCTGCATTTTCATTTATTATTTTGCTTTCTTTTACTTCTAGTGTTACTGTAACGACTTGGAACGAAAAAGGACTCTTCTCTTTTTTTAAGTAATGCAAGCAGCAGTGATGGAGGAATCTAACGGTAAATATCTTTAATCTAAGCACCTAATCAGCTTCTGTATACATTTTTATCGATCTTTCCGTTCATCGGTAGCAACTACTATTGAGCAACAACCAAACGCACTCAACAATGGCCAGGAGCTGGTGTCGTCCAACGATCAGCCATCGTCGCCCACTCCGGCAGCCACGCCCACCAGCAGCACCGGCACCGACAATGCCCAGCCCACGTTTAGCTATGACGATCTGTTCCCGGCTTTGCCGACGAA